GGTTGCACTGCTGTAGTCCCACAAGCAATATGCAAACACATTTGCTCTTGCATACAGAGCTGGTAAACTTGTTACCAGTGTGACAGGTGACAAATAGCATCTCCAGGAAGGTGAAGCTTGCACTGCCTGTGTAACAAGCAAGCATCTTTCCTTATGTTTTAAGGGTATTTGATGCATATAATAATAATAATAATAATAAAGAAACCAAAACCAAAAAGCCTTTCTCTCTTCCTTCACAGTTTGTGGTATCACATGAGATGCGCTTCTCACCTGGCTCTCTGAAACAACCCCCGGCTCGCATCTTTCTCTACCCAAGTCCTGCTACCTTCAGTCACTTCCAGCACCCAGCACAGAAGCTGCGTCAGAGTTCTCCGGAGAAGCAGAATCAAAGCCAAATTCACCTCTGGCAAGCCTCTCACTTTTTTCCTTGAAGTCCTGGGGATGGAGCCCACGCCTTCCTGTGGAACTCTAATGCTGAGCCGCTCCCCAGCCTGTCTCTCACTTTTGTCTGTGGTTCTCTCACTTTCTCTGTCGGTCTTTTTGTCTGTTTCTGATTCTCTGTGTCTGTCTCTGTCTCTCTGTCTCTGTGTCTGTCTCCCTCAACCAGGAGGGTGTATGCCTGTAATTCCAGCACTCTGGGAGACTGAGGTAGAGGATCACATGTCTGAGCCCAGCCTGGGCAATTTAGCAACTTAGCCAGACCCTGTCTCAGAATTTTAAAAAATTTTTTAAAAGGCCGGGGAGATAGCCCAGTGGGAGGGTGCTCCAATACTAAACAAGAGAAGGCAAAATTACTCCATTTTTTTTTTTTGTCTCTCAATTATTAAATAAATAGAACCCAGACCATTTAGATCTGTGTTAGGACTTCTGTTCAATGCACTGATTAGGAAGACGAAGAATTTGACATCAGATATCCTCGGAGGAAAATGATGTTATATAAAATGCTGTTTGTTTACATCCTGATGAAGAAAAGCCAGCTCCGTAATAACAAAAGTGTCCTTGTTCCATCCTGAGTATCAAATTCAGTATTTTCTTCCAGACAAAACACTTTTTTTGTTTTTTGTTTTACAAGTTTGGTTTTCTGTCTCTTTTCTGGAAGTCTTTTCTTGGATGGATAAATACCTTTCTCAGCCCAGGAGTTAATGAGATGCCCAGCAGTTTGGAATTTGAGTTTTTCTTGTTTACTTACAAAAGCTGCATACTAATATTAAATATTAAATATCTAGAAAAGAATATAAAACTCAGAAAATATATAAATATATCCCAACTATTTACTACATAGTAGGAATAAAAATGTCTCGAAATGAGTGATTCCACTTTAATCTTCTAGAGATCATTTAGATCTGGTCCAAAGACAAACCTTTATCATTAAAACAGAATAAACCTAAGTCATCTTCAAGAGATGGTATTGTTGTTTCAAAAGAATAGTCTCAGGAAAATCTACAGTGAATTATTCATTGCTTTTAATTATATTCTTATTATAATTTAATTATATTCTTATATAATTATAAAATTTAATAAATGGGTCTTTGAGTCTTTTTTAGAGTTCTAATATTCCATGAAAAAAGATCACTTGTGTTTGCGTTTTCTTCCTGGACCATACAAAAATCTGATTAGAGAAAACATCAAATTTAAATCTCTGTCTTCGTTTTGAACTTGGGCAACTCTCAAATTCAATCTGGTTAACACTTAAACATGTGCTCCTTTACTTATAATGTGGCAATGTCCTGATAACCCCATCCTAAGTCAAAAATACTGGTAAGATGAAAATATGTTTAATATTCCTAACCTATAAACATCATAGTTTGGCCCACTTTAAACATGCTCAGAATGCTTACATTGGCTTACAGTTGGGAAAAATCACCTAACCCAAGGATTATTTTATAACAAAGTGTTGACTAGCTTGTGTAATTGATTGAATACTTGTTTCCAAAGATGTTGGTAACACAGAACACTATCCAGGATTGGTTGATTACCCTCGGCATCAGGTGCCTGGCCAGGAGTTGTGGTTTTACTGGTGCCGTCCAGCATCATGAGAGAACCCTGTTCTGTGTATTACTGGCTCAGGAAAAGATCAAAATTCCAAACTCTGAGTTTAGTTTCTACTGACTATGCACTGTTTTCACACCATGATAAAAATCAAAACATTGTAAGTGAGGTCATCGTAAGTCAAGGACACTGTACATTAATTGTGCAATTATTATGTCCTGAGTGCACTGTTAGTTTTTATGTAAGTGCCAGAGCTAATTTCCAAGTCAACTAGTGTCTCGGCAGAACGATTGTATGTGCCAAATGTCATACCAGTCAGCAATAAAAAATGTTACCATGAGCCCACAAAAAATGGGAGATAAGAGAAGTTATTCTATTGGCGGGTTCAGATATAAAGTCATAACTAGTTCAAAAAAATCAATCCATGAACGCACAGGGCCCATAGAGAGAGCTTTATATAGTAAAAGCAAATTTCAAATTTTGGATGTAAAAATTAGCATCACTCAGCTCTTGCCACCCTGTCCAGTGATCCCCACACAGGCCTCTGCTCTGGCCTCCACACAGATTGCATTCCAGGGAAGGTGCTTTCGATGGACAGGATGGTACAGTGACCCCTTTGAGTCCTCAGCACCAAGGGAGCCCTCAGTAGGCAGTTACATTTTCTTAAAGGTATGAATGGCCTGATTTTTCAATAGAACTTTGCAAAATGAATCAAAATCTAATTGATCTTTTTTGTGAGTTGATTCTTTTCAGTGTTGAGTCCCTAGACGGATGTGTCTGGGATGGAACTCTTTTTCCACTGACTTCTCCTCGGGCTTATCTTTAGCTGGGCCTGCGGAGGGGAGGCGGACACAAGGCAGAGCCCCACAGGTCCTGGTTGTCCTGTCACTTTCCCTCCTCCACGCTAAGATCCTCCCTGGACTTGAATGAGTTCACCCACATTCACACATTCCTTTCAAGGAGTTTTAAAAAGACAGAGGGACCATCTTCTCTGGTCTGTGTTTAACTTGTTGAGTTGTGGACTTGTGTCTCTGCCACCATTGAACAGAGCCAGAAGAACCCAAATCTCAAGGATAGAAACACACACACACACACACACACACACACACACACACACATACACTCATGCATGCACGCAGGTGCTACACAGACACCCTCCATGGTGCACAAAGATGATACAACAGGCAGTAGTGAAGGTGCAAAAGCAAACCAACCAAATCAGAGAGGGTATGAAACCTAAGGGGAAAACAGGGCCTGAAATGGACAGAAAGCGAATTCAAAATAGTCAAAATATCTACCAGTCTCGAATTACGAGAAAAATCACCAGCCACCTTACAAGATTCTGGAATGCTTCTAAAACTTCAAGGCACATACAAATCACGTGCTTTGAGAAGTTAAAATACAGATTCTCATTCATCAATTTAAGGTAAATACTGGGACCTGCTTATATGTGTATATATAAGCAAAAATGATATCCATCTAATAGCATATAATACATAATAAGAGGACTTACAAGGAAAATATACACTGTTCATGTTTTTATGTTAGTACTTTTATTACTAGGCTTATATTTACTTTTTATTCCTGGATGATTAGCCTTTTACCCTGAAACTTCTGACTCCAAGTGTCACTTTATTATTATATTTTACTTTCTATAGTAAAGCTGCATCTCATAGTAGAAAATAACGAGGAAGTAGCACTCAAGTTTCTAGAAACTCTATTTTGTAGTTACAGGTATTACAGAAAACAGATCTTTTCCATTTAAGGCAAGGAAAAATGCTAACATTCATTAGACAAATTCTTAGATAATATTTAGGGCTCGCTTAGGATTTGCTTAATTTTTAAAAGGATCACAGACAGACAGATAGACAGACAGATGGACAGATTTCATTCTGGCACAACCTAACCCCTTGCCATTCTATAAGTGGTCTTGACTTCGCTGAAGAGATTTTTTTTTGACAATTTTTCAAAACACAAGTTCTCAAATTTACCTTAAATTAATGAAAGAGAATCTGCATTTTAACTTCTCAAAGCACGTGATTTGTGTGTACCTTGAAGTTCTAGAAGCATTCTAGAATTTTACAGAGGTTCCACGAACAGAAACGGAATTATTCCATGAATCTTCAGGGGGCTTCCTTCCAAAGATCCTATAAGCCATTCTCTCCCTCCTTCCCTCTCTCCTCCCCTCTCTCCGGCTCTCTCTCCTCCCCTCTCTCCTTCCTTCTTTCCTGGGATTGAACTCAGAGTCTCACACATGCTAGCGTCTGGTCTACCAGTGAGCTATACTCCAGCCCCTTCTGTGCACTACTTTCTATATCTTGCCTAAACTTACATGGAAAGGTGATCTTGGAATTTGGAGGTCTCCCTATTTTATCTCCTCCCCAGCGATGCTATGGGCCACACACTGCTCCTGACACCTCTCCTACCACAAAAACAGGCTTGGAGAAGGAGTGACAGAAGGATCCGTGGATTTGGATGAGAGAGTTACATATGCTTTCTATTGCATGAAGGAGATCTCCACATCATGGTCACCATGGTGCATTCTTCTCTAAGGATTATCTTATGGTCCAAGCAATAGAGGAAAACTTCCCTATCTTTCTACCCACAAGACTTTGTGTTTTACACAAGTGAGTTAGAATAAAAAGGTATTTCTTGGTTTGAGTTTTATTCATTGTTCATCTTTAAAATGCCAATCTGAGGACCCAAGACATAGCTTGTGACGTGTCTGCCAATGAGCTCACGGCAGAGAGAGGGGCCCCCCCATTCTTCTCCCACTGAGCTTCACGAAGACTGGAACCCTCGCTATCTCTTCAGAAGCAAGCATTCCCTCACTGTGACTCCTTGTGTTTGAGTGAGCTTAGTTAATAGACATTCATGGTGACACTGACAATGACAGTTGACAAGAGACCCTGCTGAAACAGCAGCGGAATGAAGATGTGCAAAAACAAAACAAAACACAACAGAAAGACATGACCGTTTCAAGTCTTTAAGCTGCAAAGGAAGGAACATACCTGAGGTGCACCCCAGACACCCTTCTTCACAAGGCAAGCATTCCTCGTAGTCTGAATCTTGGACTTCACCTGTGCAGGGAGAAGAGTGAAAAGCAATCATTCCCACTAAGCAGAGGCGCATCCGTTGCTAGGATACATTGGTATGCAGCTTATTTTTAAAGCACAGAGCAGTATGTACCAAAATCATGTATATACATGTTACATGCTCTTTATCTTTTTCTGTCAGTTTAATAAATTGGATTAGTTTGTTTGGGTACAAATAGAATAAAGTCAGACCATATGCCATGTAAGTAGCTTGGAAGTCACGCTGATAGATTTTATTTGTTAAAGAAATCAATTCTGCTTCTGGGAAAATACAATTGTGTATACAAATGAACAGGCTCCACTGCTCTTTTCATCTGTCCTACTAAACGCATTTTAAAAAATAGTTTAAACCTTTTCATTACATTTGTTAACATTCAGGAGAAATGAAATGGTTTTATTCTAAAAACATCTTGGAGCTTTCTTGAGCACCAGACCAGGCCTAGTTATTACACAGAGCAGTGGAATAGTCTGTGACATTTACATAGAAGAGAACCAGAACCCTAAGTGTCTTCTTGGTTTATTTCCCTTTTCCATATTAGATAAAAATTGGGCAAAACCAATCACACATATAATTCAGATTAATTTAACATTTTCAAGTAAGCTTATTCTTACTGGCTTCTCGCAGTGACTCTATCTTGGTGCTATGTTTTCCCTTTCGCAAATGAAGAAGCCAAGGTGTGAGAAATTAGATTAGTTTTGCCCTGGGTCTTATATGTAACAATTGGGGAGGCGAAAACCGTTGGACGTGACTTTGAGAGTCGAATCTAATTTTCCCCCTACCATATCCTGTCCACACACACCTCAGTGAGGCTCACGTTCTGTAGGATCAGCTGTACTCCTGGGATGCTGCATTGGGTCCGGGACAGCCAGGGAGGAGATGTGGGGGAAGAGGAAGGGGCTGCTATTCCTCGACAGAAGGCATCGATGGGTCACCTGAAGGCTTGACATTAAGTCTGGGACCTGACATGCCCGGATGTCTGGGGAGTAAAGATAGCCCCTACCCCAACCGCAGGTCCTGGGTGAGCCCAGAGCAGTCTCACCTTGCCCGCACTCCAGCTTCTCGCAGGTGCTGTTGGTGGGTCCCAGAACATAGCCGCTAACGCATCTGGTACAGATGTGTGGGTGGTGGCAGAGCTCACAGTTGTCCGGGCAGGGCAGGCAGGTGTGGCCCTGGGCAGGGGCGTGGCCGGCTGGGCAGCTCTCTAGACACTCCCCCTGGTGCAAGAAGCGCTCTCGACCCTGCTTGTCTGACCGGTTTGAGGGGCAACAGAAAGATAGAAAATGTGCGAAATCAGCCATGAAGCTAATATAATGTGAGACATTTTATTAAAAAAGAAACGACCGAGTGCTTTTGTTCCTAAGGGACCAGGAGTGTAAGAATGGATTTAATGAAAAGTGCAATATCTATATCCTTGTCGTTGAAAAGTTTTCCTTGCAGGGAATCAGCTTACAATATTTTATATATTTGAGTGAACAGCAACTACTATCTGGGATATCACTGCAAAACCACAAAGCATGCTCTGTGAATAACCACAATTCAAAATATGCTTAAGTTTCCCTAGGGCTCCTTTTGGTATCTATGGAACTTCTCAAATTTGGGGGTTACAGAGATCCCATAAGAATAAACACATGCTTAATAATAGACACACTTTATAAAAGTGTGGTCTCCTAAAATGACTTGGAATTGTTGTTATCAAAATCATATGCTTGTGTTGACTGACTAATGATTGAATTTTTGCAAAGCTCCCAAGTCTCACAGTGAGGCCTTCCTGGAGCTCTGGGCCAAGTACACCTCTCTGCTTCTTATCCATGCATTCCTGGGAGCTCAGGACTCCTGTCAGCACTGGGCTCTTGAAGGAAACAATCAGTGACACTTCCAGCAGACAGACTATAGGAATTTGTTCTTGGAGAGAATGGGAAAATCTAATCAGCTAGAGAAGATCACAATTTGTTACAAAGGATTCTAACCAGGCAGGAATGTATAATCTACAGTAAAACAAATACCGTAGATACACCTAGAGATTTTCCACTCGCAGCCTCCTGCAGTTTTTATGTTGAACATACTTAGGATTTCCATCCTCTCTGAATCAGACTTCCCATATGTGCCTGCTTCTGAGGAACAGGCAGTCTGTGTGACCCAGAATAACGGATGTAGTGATCCACCACATGGAGAGCCTAAGCCATTGACCTTCAACATGCAAGGCTGCTGAACTTGCAATAAAATAGCATTCATTCCTATTTCTGGCATAGAAACTGAAAATCAGTACAATGGTAGACTAAACCATATGAAACCGCTGTCTAATTTTTGCCCAAGTGCAGCACTTTCAAATATCTCTAACATTTCTTATTTAATCTCAAATCTGTACAATTTTATTTTCCCCAGTTTTTAAAAACATCAGTATATGTGTGTGATACATGGTAAATACATGCATCGTGGGGTATTGGTATGTATACAATATCATATCTTGGTCCCTTTGACTTCCCATCTACAGCTATCAACTATGATTTTAAAAACCCATTGTTGGATCATAAGCTCTCAGGCTACCACTTTTCTGATTTTAATTTCATATCAAAAATCCTTTGGTTCCTGCAGGGTCAAGAAAACAAAGAGTGCTATAAGAGAGGAGAAGGGAAAAGTCATCAGTAGCTTTGAGGATGGATTTAGAAAAGCATTGTCCCTCAAGGAAGGAAAGTGCTGAGCACTTTGAGAGGAGCCTGTGTGATCACATAGCCAGGACCAAGAATGAGGAGCACAGAACTCTGATTTGATGAAGTCTGGGACCTCAGGAGACCCCAGGAGTGCCAACCTTCCAAGTTACGTTTTGTGCAGTCCCTGACTTATTCACAATTGATCTGTCTTTTCACAGCTCCACGACTTCTCTGATGCAAGTCGGAGAATCTGCAGGAAAGCAGGAAGGGGCCACCTCCCTACTCAAGGGTTTCTCTGAACCACCACACCTTTGCAGGGCATCAGCTCACAGTCCGCAAGCCCGGCTTCAGGAAGCTCCCCAGGCACATATTTGTCAAATGACTGAAGGTATGAGGGTAAGAATGAATTTGTACTTGCAGGATTAACTTTCCCTTATACACTCAGTTGGATCAATCATCTTAAACAATTAATAGTGATGGGCTCTAGTATCAGAAGAAACGTTATTTGATCCTGCTTTTATTGTTTGGACATGGATTTATTACTCAGACCTTTTTGGGGTGTCATCAATTGCATTTAAAGGACAAAAATTTGAAGGGCCTCAGTTCTTAAAACACACAGATCCCACATAAAGAAGTTATTTAAATTTCTTGTCCATGGCCAGCTTTCCCAAGTTGGCTGCAGGATTATGTCAAGATTTAGTAGTGTTCTTGATTGCCTCAGTAGTTTGCCAGCTCATTTAGTTATAGTCGGTAATTCAGGAAGCTGAGATTTAAATGCCATGCATAATTTTTGGCGTCCTGCCCAGGGTCTCCAAATTTAAATGACTACAGTGATGTGTAAGAGAAGCTGGCTCCAGCAGGAGGAGGGTTGACATTTTTTGGCAGGCACCACTTTCACGGTATGATGTGAGGACCCAGTTAAGAGTCAAGGAAGTGGAAGGAGTTCCACGTGGAGTTCAGGTATTCCAGAGTCACCAAGTGCTACCCGCACATTTCTTGGTAGTGGATTTTGTCAGAAAGTGAACTAGCGTGAAGTCCCTGCAGTCTGAAGGAGGAAGGAGAGCCGAGGGTCAGAGGCAGAGGAGAAGGTCTGTCGCAAAGAATGAAAGAAAGGCTGAGGAACTCTGAAATGAACTTTATCAAGTTCATATCAATATTTTGCTAACTGTACCTGTTTTGTGATTGGCCGAATTCAATTTTGGGTCTAGCTGTGTAGAGGATAAATCTAGGAGAGACTTCTGAGAAAATTTCCTCCAGTGTAACTAGAGACCTGCATTTCCATAAGAATTCACACCTAAACCTTAATGAGTCCCCAACTCAATGAGGGATGAACTTGTTCTTTGTCTTAGTTATTGTCTTCACTGGAGACCCACGATTTAAAGAAAGGTTTATTTTCGGGTCATGTTTTAGTCCATGGTCAGCAGGGGCCAAGAAAGAATGACACGAGAGAGGAGCACAGTAGATGAGAGGCTGCTTACCTCATGGTGGGGGGCAACAGGGATAAGGGGAGCCAAGAAGGGAGATGCACCAAACCCCATCACATTCCCAGTGGGCCTCCTCTCGCAAACGAACCCCACCTCTGACAGCAAGTCAGCTATGTTGCCCCCATAATCCAACCACTTTTCAAGAGCCCTGCCTTCTAGCACATAAGCCTTTGGGGGGACATCCAGATAGAAACTGTAACACCACACACTGGTGGGTGTGGTTTACACAGGGAGAAGGGACTCCCCAGCCAGAGGATTTTCTTGCTTTTATTAAAGCTTCCACTTACAGATACAGAACAGCTTCAGTTAAATCATCCATTGTTAGTATTATTTCAAGATCTGGGCTATACTGGCCATGCTCATTCTTTGCCCCTTTTCCTCTCCTCCCCACCTCTGTCTTCCTCCTCTTCTTCCTCCTCCTTTCTCCTCCTCCTCCTCTTGCAGTACTAGGAATTGCCCTTGAGCTGAACTAAATTCTTAGCTAGCAGGCTTTCTCTGTCTCTCTGTTTCTCTGTGTCTGTCTGTCTCTCTTTTTTTCTTTCACAATACTGGGAATTGATCTCAGGACCATTCCACTGAGCTACATCCCCAGCTCTTTTTGCCTTTTTAAAATTTTGAGGGAGAGTCTTGCTCAGTAATTAAGTTTCCCAGGCTGGGCTTGAACTTGGATTCTCCTGCCTCAGTCTCCCAGAGTGCTGGGATTATGGATGTGTACTGCACACTCTACTTATGCTAATTCTTCTTGACCCAGAGCATTAACCTCTTAGTAGGCAGAAGACCTGTTGAATGACAGCTTTCTAAGCAGCACGTTCGCTACTCACTAAATCTGGAAGTGATGTTGCTTCTCTGGCCTGTGGTAGAATTTCTACCAGTCAGATGGCATTTATAGTATTTTTTTCTTTGGTAACATATGAGACATTCTTATTAAGCTGTAAACTCTTCAAAGATGAGTATCATGCTACCATTTATTGTGTTTTCCATGGAACACAGTATATATTAAGTTGGATATGGGAGGGATGCAATAAATGTTTAGGAAGATGGATTAAACATAGTCTTTCAAACAGAACATACAGAAGAAATGTCAAAGTGTTTTATGTACATTTGGTCTGAGTAACGGTGGATGCTTAGATATTTTGCTTAACATCTCAGCTTCTAATTTTGTGCTACATATGGAAGTGATTTTTAGTTCCAAATTTGTCTTTTCTTCCTTTCTTTTTCTCTGTTTCTTGTCTCTTTCTTTCTTTCTCTCCCTTTCTTTCTCCTTCCCTCTTTGCCTCTCTCCTTCTCTTCCTTTTTTTTTCTTCAAGTAGGACAGATTTTAAGAGGCGAAATATTTAGTTCGGGGTCTTCTATCTAGTTAACAGTTTCTAGGGTACTGGGGCTCTGTAGAGACTTTTCCTAGGATTTTCTTGTTTAGAACAAAGAATTGAACAAAATAAGCTCAAAAAGGGGTTAGGTTTTACATTTATTGAAAGCAGAGAAAGCAGCATGCTCTGCAGATTGAATGCAGGCCAATTAAAAGTAGGAAAAGAAGCGTGCTCTATAGGGTGGGGTGGACCATGGTGGGAGGGACCATGGTGGGAGCCGAGAGCTTCATGGTCGCTGTCTTTTGTACTTCCCACTCCCAGGCTGATGTCAGGTCTGCTGGGTCCCCTTAACCAGCTTGGCTTCTCTTGAGAAGAGCTGAAGACCGCACTTTCTGATTGGATGTTTCTCTGCGCATGCCCAGGCATACTCACTTGGCTGACCACACCCTAATCTCCTGCCTCACTGCCTGTAACAAAGCCAGGATGAGAATCCATGTTTTCTGACTGCTGATCGCGGTGTTCTTTCTATTTCATCCTTCTTTCATGCAGCTGGGTATTGTGCACTTTTTATATAAGCCAGATGCTACCGTTGTGCTCAGATATTAGAGAACAAGGCAGAAACAGAGCACAGAACAGTTGAGAAGCCTGTGGATGGAAAGCCAGGGCTCCAAGAATGTGCTTATGAAGGTGGCCTGTCTTACCCCAGGAGGGATACCTTTCTTGTGGGAATGATATTGAAACCAAGATGGGACTGGAAGAAGCCAGACAATGAGTAGAACTGTCTTGAGTAAAGCCTTTGAGGTTAGAGAAGCTCTAATCCCAGAGGAATAATCAGATACAAGTAATAATGATAATACAGAAATAAGATAAGCACAGTTAATATCATTCAATACTTAGTATGTGCCTCACCTTGTTCTAAATGCTTTAGTATTTTGTTTCACTTACTTTTTACAAATCATAAAGAGGTAATCATTAGCACCATTTTATAGATTAAAGAAACAGAACGAGACATTTCTAGAGAAAAAATATGACACAGATATACAGTGATACCTAGGTGGCAAACTTAATTATTTCCAGGTTTCTAGTCACAAACTGAATTGAAAGAGAACTGAATTAAAGTCAAGGGTTGAGTTCAACGTTGAGCTTATAGGGAATTTTGAGTGGCTTGGTGTCTAATTTGGTTTGTGACCAGACTTGTGGAAAGCATTGTTTGTGAACCGAGGTACCACTGAACTTTGTTTCTGCATGACGTACAAAGCAAGGTCTTTTAATTTATACAAAGAAATGTGTTACATCCCGTATTCCTGTAAATCCATGGCAGTCTCAATTTATTCTTCATTTTTCTTGGTTTTATTGCAAGCAAGAGTAAATAATCCTCTCCTGTTAGAGAAACAACGCAGGATGACCATGGTGATCAGTGGCCCAGGAGCAGCAGGGCAGTTAGGAACGGTGAGGACTGTGGAGAAACGGGCAGCAGCCTCTGGAGGCCTCCTGCCCACTCTTTGGGAAACAGGCTCATTGTTGCCAGATCCTCCATGGGTTCAACAGAAACAAAAATCCCAAGATTTTATTTGAAATTTTCCAAACATTGAAATTTGGCTGAAATTTACAAAGTATTATCTCAGCCAGATAAAATATGGCTGTGACTCACTGGAGCCCCAAATAGAGACAGACATATGAGAGGAGGCAGCAGGGGAAGCAGGGACTGAGCTGCAGGGGACCCTGGAGACTGTGATCCAGTGGTGGCAGAACATTTTGAGATGAATTCAAACTGCGACACAAAAGGTTGCATTTGCCATGGGTTGAAATGATTACCTTGGAACTGTGGGGCTTTGACAACTTTTAACTGGAGCATTGCTCAGCGCCGAGAGTCCCTGACATGGCTTCTCACACTTCACCTCTTCCAAAGACCAACTGTGTCTTTCTTAGTTCTCTGGCTCTTCACTTTTACAACAAACCCTAGCTTTGCTGTATGCCCTGTGCCTGACGTCATGTTTAAATGCCCTTTCTTTCTCCTCCTGGAAGACGCCTTGTAACCTCTCTGATGTCTTCCTAGGGACATTAAGTCAGCATCCAAGTGATGTGAACAAGGTTTATGCATCCTGACAGCAGGCGAAGGCCAGCTTGTGCAGCCTTGCTAACAAGCAGCTGCCCAGTCGTAGCCCTCAATGCCAGGCCCCTGAGTCAACCTGAAGACGACTGTGGAGCTGTCTCTGGGTTGGAAAGCAGAGGGGGACGAGCAGCAGGCTCACCTGCCCCGCAGGAGGTGCAGCTGGAAGGTCCACTTCCTCGGCATCCACGGCAGGTGTGGTGGCATGGGTGGCATCGGTTCTGAAACTCAAATTTCCATGAGGGACAGTTCAAAACGCAGTGGCCGTCATCCAAAACCCTAGAAGAAAGGCAGGCTTTTATAATTTATCAGAGTGGCTTCTCAGAGTGGCCCTAAGTATCAGAACATGTGGTATTCATGTTTTGCTGTACAGATCTGATTTCATTTTTCCAGAAACAAAAGGGATGCCTGGGACTGATCAACTCAGAACATGAGAAGTATTAGTCACGTATCCATCCTTGGCCCAAGACTTTGATCCCACAGCAGGCACGCCAGAAACTGGCTGGGGATTCAGTCCTCTGTCTGGGTCCAAAGAAGCTAACTGTGCCCACAGGGATTAAACCCATATTGTCGGCTCCCACCAAAGCCAGCCAATTGTCAAGGCAGGGCTCTGAACTTTCAAGATGCTAAGTAGGCCTCTGAATCCAGAGCTTTGGAAAAATACACTCACATTAGTTATCAGCTTGCCCAGCAAGGGAAGGGTCAGCTTGAAGGCACTTGAAGGGTACCTCAGGTGCTGTTGATGAACCTGGGCTGGGTATATTGCAAATTATCAGCAGACTCTGACCTGAATATCGTTCTTTGCCAGTATTTCCTGTTATACAGATTACTGCAGACACTTTTTTTATTAACCAGGTTTGCAAAGACTTAAAGGGCATTGTCAATAAGTTAGCATGTGGGCTTCTAAAAGTTTTGGTTTCATATTCATTTAATATACATCATAGCGTCATTAATATTTTCATGCACAAAGTAATCATAAGAATAAATGTGTTTCAATAAATTGCATCCAAGAATTTTTTGCTCGGAAACATATACAAAATGTGTTCATCAAATAAGCATAAGAGTCTGCTGGATAATGTGAATAGATGGGGTGTGGGGAGTGCGGCCCCTATGGGGTTTCTCATTAAACAGGTTGCAGGACATGGAAGGAATTGATAATTTGCATTTTTGGCAATTTCAGAAACTTCAGGTGTTGCTAACATTGCTTGGTCAGAGACACATGTTCTTGGTACGTGTCTTGTTATTTATGCTTAAAATTTTATTTTTGAATAATGCGGTAATTGCACGCATTAATGAGGCACGGTGTGATCTTTCAGCACGAGCGAGCAGCCCAGACTGATCAAATCAGGACCATTAGCATTTCCCTCCTAGCATTTGCTTCTTTCTGGAGACTTCAGCTCCTCTCTTCTAGACCTTCACAGTAGGTTACTGTGAACAACAGTCAACCACAGGGCCGCAGAAACTGGAGCTTTTCTCTTCTGCATTTTGGTACCTGTTGTCCAGCCTCTCTCTATCCCCCTCTCCTTCTCACCCTCCTCAGCCTCCAGCAATCACTATTCTGTATGCAGATCAACTTGTTATGAAAACTTCTACATATGAGCAAGAACATGTAGTATTTGTCTTTCTGTGTCTAGCTTAATGCACTTAACACAGTGTCCTCCTGCCCATCCATTCTGCTAGAAGACAAGGAATTCATTATTTTTCATGGCTGAACTGTGTGTCTACTGTGTGTCTGTTTGTGCCCCTGAGAGTGTGTGCATGTGTGTACACATAATGTTTTCTTTATCCATTCATCTGTAGAGGAGCCTCTGGACTGACCCAAGAACTGACATTTCTTGGATACTGTGTATGATGGAACTACAAAGATACACAGGCCTCTCCTTGGTATGACTTCATTACCGTTGGGTATATATATATATATATATATATACCCATATTGGGATGGCCATACCATTTGGAAAGTGCACATTAAGAATCATTGCTCAGGGCTGGGGATTTAGCTGAGTGGCATAAGCCCTTGGCTGGCAAGTATGAGATTGTGAGTTTGATCCCCAGTACCAAAAAAAAAAAAAAAAAAAAAAAAAAAAAAAAAAAAAAGAGAGAGAGAGAGAAATCATTACTCAATGATAATCTGGATTATATTGGAATTTGCTAAGTAAGTACCTAGTAATATATGTGATGCTAAATTAATGTCTGTTAGAGTTTCTGTAGAACTATGTTACTGTAGCTGTTGTATGGCTGACTGAGCACCTGTCTCTAAGAGCATAATGCTTCTACCAAGCAGGGGAGCTGATGGTCCCGCAAAGAAAAAGGGGGGCTTCCTTCTCTCTCTGGCACCTCTCTCCAGTCAGGTGTAAAAGACCAGGTATAGGTATGGAGCAACTTGTTCCTGGCTTGGCCTGGGATTGTCCAAAAAGCCCTGTTTCCAGAGCTGGCACCAACCTTGCTTGAGCTGGAAAGTGGGCCATTTGAACCCAGGGGTTGGGAGGAAGATGGAGGCCTGTGGGGGCAGGCTGCATAGTAAGTCACTTGCAGTTTTCTATCTAGTTCATTCCCACATCTTGAAAGTCTGTGTCATTTCCATTGGTTTGGAAACAGAAAGGAACTCAAGTCAACAACCTAACACACAAAACCAGCTTAGTCCAGGAGCCCCGACCCATCTGAAGCTGGTCACCAGATGCAGCATAGTGAGCAAACAATTCCTTCAGCTCCCTGCAGAGCATAGAGCCCCAGCCTCAAGCAGACACTCACACATCTGGCTGTCCCTGTCAAAGCCAGAGGTGTGTGAGGTCCCTGCACCGTGATGTTGAATGGGGTTCCTGTTCTCCCTGCTTAGATTTTAGTGCCAATGGGAATATCCCAGCCCAGTTTCCGAGTTAGGAAATTTTTCAAGAAAGTTTGGAGAGAGGCTAATTATAAAAACAACAACAAAACTGCAAAACCTCCCTGTAGAAAAGACTGCCTAAGGGCAGAATTTGATACAAGGAAACTATTCAGTGTTCTCCAGAAAAGAGGAAATGGGTGAGCTCACTCCAGGGGTCCATCTTCTTGCTAAATTTAGTTGAGATAGGTATGTGAAGGGCGTCATCATTATGTCCTTATGGAAGAGGCGACAAATTGCTTGGGGGAAACTTTCTCTTGGGAGTGGTAACCTAATATCCTCAAGGAAAACCATTTACACCCTTCCAGAGATGGGAGAAGAGAAGAGGCATCCTGTTTCCAAGTTTATCTGGAAAGGAGCCAACGTCCTAAAGAGACAGAAGGAAAACAAGCACACCTAACCAAAGGCGGTGAGTGATGTCATACCCCCTGCACACACTCCAGCCCTCTCAAGAAAAATGACCAAGAAATTTGAAGAAAAGTCCCTTTCAAGTAGCTATGGTTTTGTACAGGCAACAAAACATTCTCCCGGTGGAGAAAAATGGATACTTCGCTCATGGAAGTAGAAAATAGAGTTGATAAAAGCGTTTTTTAAAATGTCAAAGTATCTTTGGGACCACCACCATCCAGCTCCTGGATTCCTGGACCCTGGCGAGCTGTCTCTATGGAAGAGCTTCTCTTCCTGTTCATGCTTGCTCTTGACCTTCTCAGAGGTGGGAATGCACCCCAGGTCCAGCAGCGCTCAAAGCAAAATGGTAGAACATAGTGGTAAACGGCTGGGCAGGCATGAGCCCCATGTGGGCTCTGAACATTCCGAAGCCCCTGAACTTCCCTCCACCTAAGGTGTGTGTGTGTGTGTGTGTGTGTGTGTTTGTGTGTGTGGTGAACTATCATGGAATAAATAGCAAGTCAGAGAGCTGCTTTTCTGTCCCAATTACTCTCATGACCTAATTAATCAGAACAACACTTAATGTAACTTCTTGGTGCCTATTCTAACAGAATAAAGCCTGGTAAAAACTCTTATTTTCTCTGCATTCACTGAAGCACATCAAATAAAATGTTGAATCCTGAGTAAGAACAGAGGTAACTTTTAAATGCTTTTAATTAGTTTATCGACCTCATGTCTCCTTCAGGACAGGGCTGGACAATAAGCTCGGGCAAGAAGCACCGCAGCATTTCAGAGCTTTGGATGTTAAATTCATTAGCTTCCTCCAAGTTTTCAATTGTCTTTGAGGGGCTAGGTCCAAAGTTTTGTAGAAATCTCAGGGACAACTACAGGATGCAGGGATTATTCTCCAAAAGTTGATTTCTTGTAAAACAACTTCAGGGTTAAATTGTCTTATTTTTAAAAATGTATTATGGACAAATATAAACATATACAATTGTAAACATATATGGTCATATAGTAAATATACATAAAAGACTTCCCAGTGCCCCAACCCACCCACTCACCACTCGGGTTAACAGTATTAACCCCTGGCTAATCTTATTTCATCTACCTTCCCAACAGTTTGCTTCCATCCCATGTAATTTTGCAGCAGACCTGCAAGATAAATGTTAATACTCCTCTCCCAGATGACAGTCCTTTGAAGATTATCTCCCCGGGATCTGTGCTATCCAAAGGCTTAAGAACAGGAAGAAACCGAGTGAGACCAACCATCCTGATTAGTTTGTTTGTCTCCCCTTCCCCCAGCCCAGATTCATTTTCTGCTGTCATCTGTCCTGCTGTTCGATGTGTCCTAAAGGTGAACTCAGTGCGTATTACATCTTGAGACTACTTATCCTCAGCTGCGAGCTGTATTTCCCACTGGCCTCCAGTTAGTTTCAGACAAGAGGAAACATCTGTTGGGGATTTGAATGCAGGGAGAAAGCAATCGGGGGCATTTATCAGCCCCCTGCGAGCTGCTCTCTACTGCGAGTGTGGGGCAGGGTCTCTGCCTTCTATAACGCCCCCACCACCACCACCACTAGGTGTCAGCTCTTCTGTGGAACCATTTCTTGCTTCAGGGATAGGATGTTAAAGATTCTCCACTGTCTCTATTCTTATTTTCCATACTTGCACATATATTTTCATTACAAAAGCGATACATGCTCATGATAAAGAAGATATAAATTCAAGAATTACACAGGACCTCTCCCCAGGACTAACCCCAAGCATACTTCTCAATTGAATGTGGGTGATTCTTTCTTTATTAGTATATGCTTGTAGTGTAAGCAGCTCAGAGTCTTTTTAGGGCTTAGGTACATGTGTTTAACACCTTCATAATCTTACTGCCCTTCTTCTTTCCAATCCTGCTCTGGATTCCCCTTCCCCATTTTCACTACTATTAAGTTTTTTAGTTCATGTTTGAGACATATGACTGATGACTGGAGGTAGCTGGTACATGTGTAGGATTATACACTTTATCCAATTCAATAAGACACATGCATATGGGGGAATAAAAGGACAAACATACCATAGTCCCTGCCACAAGGTTAGGCTCAAGGAAGAAGTGGGGTGAAACAATTGCCGTGCACAGCAGAGGGGTTGTCCCATTCTAGCAACGCAAAACCCTCATCACCGCAGCAGCCTCAAGTCACTGACTTGGGGACAAATCTGCTTCTTCCGCCTTCAGCTGAGCAGTGACAGGGCCATTCGTTCAACCTCCGAGCAGCCAATAAATATGAAGCGCTAGCATCAGAGGAGCACTGAGCAGATTCACAGCAGGCCTCCCACGCCCTTCACCAGGAATGCCCAGTGCTCTGGCAAAGCTGCTTATGCCACACACGTGTTCCACTCCCATCTTCACCCAATAGTTGAATATTTACTGAGCGCCCACTGTTTTTGCTAGCACTGTGGTAAGCCCAGGAGATACTTGTGAGCTAACATCTTTGAAGGTACCAGTGCTCTGGGTAAAGCTCATAAGAGGCAAAGGAGCCTAAAGGGGGGAGGTCAGTGGTGCTGGGAGGATGTCAGAGGTGGCTTCAGAAGAAAGTTTACCCTTGAATTGACTCTAGAAATGTGTAAACATTTGCCCAGCAGATGAAAGTGGTGGTTGAGACATGAGCGTGCAGAATGGAATGAAAGCACCCTCTTTATGGGTGAGAAAGGCCTCCCAGTGTCCAGGAAACTGTTCCTCACAGAGGGTGGTAAGTGTCACGGGGAGAGGATGCTGTAGAGGTGGGCTGCGATGGACTAAGGAGTGCCTCTGTCCTGGAAGATGGTTCTGTTCCCAGGGCCCACATGACGTACTGAGGTGATCAGCACCTCCTCTCCCCACCCGTAGCCCCTGACTCCCACCCCTAGGAGACACAGAGAGGCCCTCACCTTGTGCGGAAGCAGCTGGTGCACTCTTCCTGGCTCGGCCCCCGGCACTTGGCACACGAAGCATCACAGGCCTGGCAGCGGCCATGCTCATCAGTGTATTCTCCTGGGGAAGAGAATCTGGCTGTTTACTTCATTTCTACATGGCGAGGCTGTCTGAGCTGTTGGTCTGAGAGCAGCCACATCTCTCTATGGCTGCCTACAGCCACGGAGAGAACACACAGAGAGAAAGCAGGCCTGAATGCCTCAGTGACCAGTACTAAATCCTGACATCGTGATAACTGCTCCTACCCAGGGGCCTCAAAAGATAGGCCCTTATAAAGTTATGAGGCAATGACATGATTTTGGACCTAGTCAAAATGTGCTACAGATTATATAAGTAGAAGAGGCCAGAGGGGGCCCTTGCTTGACCCCTTTATTTGTTTCTTACCGACTTTCTCCTTAAAAGCTGAGGTTGTAGGCTTACAGGGCCACTGTGGTCATGATTCAAGACAAGCAGTGAGCGAGACTCACCCAGAGCTTGTCTAAACATGCCGGGGTGGAAAGGGACCATGGTCACTGGACAAGAATGGGAGTTGAGTCGTGGCTGACATTTGGCAGATATGAGCTACATCTTACCCTGCAAGAGTAACAGGGAAGAAATAGCCAACTAATTTTTCCTTAACTGGGAAGTTTATCTTTCCCAAGGAAAGACACATATGAGGTCTTGCCACAGAAGTAAATCTAGTCTCACAGATGTCTTCTGAATATTTAGAAAACTACATCCATGGCAAAGGTGGAAGAGACAGGTCGACTTCACGGAAGGTGCTGATCCAAAAGTAAGCTTCCACTCAGCCAGTTCCACCCTTCTGTCCACACCGTATTCATCCCCCTTGCCTTTGTCTGAAAGGAAATCAACAAGCTTCTTCAGCCAAATCCAGGGAGCCAGTTTTCTTGGTTTGGAAACAGACCGTGCTCAGAAAACATAGTTTTAGATTTTAGCAATTATAACCTTCCCTCAGCCCCGCACTCTCCCCAATGATGACAGCCCTGTAAACATCTGAACACTGTCACTCTGAGATCCAGCTGGTGTGATGAGGTAGGATGACCCACCCATGGTTTACTCCAGCTGTCTTGCTGATACTCTCTGAGTTACTGCCTGATTTGTTGTGGTTGCATTGAGAAAACCCTGGAAACGGAAACTGGATTGGTGAGGAATCAAGGAAAATCCACCCCCTTGTTTTTGTCTCACGTCTTTGCTGAACTGGTATACAGTTTGGAAAGGCGAACTTTACACACATGAATGTTCCACTTGCTAGAACTAAACGACAAAGACAAATGAAGAGACTGGTAGAGCTCGCCCATACACAGCAGGAAAGCCTTTCATGTAGTTTGTAAAGTTATCCTATGAGTTTTGCTAACCAAAGGGAAAAGAGCAAGCAAACATCTAACAGCCACACACCCTGCACACTTTGGACTCCGTCTCTAAGGCTTCTAATTATTGCCGTAGTACCATGTGGACCTGGAATCTGATATGTAACTTTTAGAATGGGGTTGTGATTCTCAGCTTAGTAGTGGAGACCTAGGTTCCAGAGAGTAGACATCCCTCAGGGGTAAGGAATGCAGGATGGTTGTCACTGCCCAAATGGCAAACACAGCCCATTTGTCACACCATGCCGTGTACTAGTGTTGCTTCCTCTTCCTCTGAAGGGGAAGTCTTTCATTAACTCACACAAAGATGATGGATGGACCTGTAACCTTGGTAATCAGCTGTTGCAAGGCAGGAAAAAACAGTGAATTCTGACTAGTAGGATTGGTGATTTCAGGTTTACACTGTCATGATACAAAAACCATATGTGTGCAGTCTTCTTTGTGTTGTTGTTGTTGTTCAGCCTCATCTACTCAACTTAAAAGTTATCGCCGTTGCTGTTATTTTTTCCATTGTTGTTACAGGAGACAGAACCAACTGAGTATATGATTACAATCTAGGCACCAGAAAATTAAGAAAAGAGATTCTGGGGCAGACCAAGTGGGAAGAAGTAGATCTTGCCTACAAGGGCCAGCACAAAATATTTGTGTTTATAGAGTTGGGTACATTTATGTCTTTCAAAATGTATGTGCTAGGTAGAATCAGAATAGGAAACGGTCACAGAGACTTGAAAACCCAAAGAAAGTATATGCTGGAGAAAAACGTCTCACAGTATAGCTCATTCATTCATTCTGCAGACGCTTTTCAAACATCTACATATATACCACACACTAGGTGAGGTTTTGAGACACATGAATTAGGTTTTCAAAGTTGGTGGGAAGAATGCTTCTACCAAAGTATTTATAACCCATGTGCTAGCCAGCAGCCTTCTACTTTCTTAATCTAAAGATGAACACAGGGGAGCAAGACCAAGCACCTAACTCTGTTAGATCTTTACAGTCAAAGGCATTTCTGTGCCTTGGTGCCAGAGTTTGCAGGTATTGACACAGTGATTTGGTTCTTTTAATTCCTTGTATTCACCCTCTTTGATCCTCATCGTGTGCTTTCAAACTAAAAGCACATTGCTCTGCCGAGCCAACAGCTGCATAGGTGGTCCTGAGAATGGTCCAAAGTCTTTTTTCTAAGCACCGATGATGTGTTGCTAGGTCAGGTAAAGGTTATTAGGATATTACTGTGGAAATTTAAAATTCTCTCTCTTTTGCCTTCTCATTGGTGGCATTAATATCTTGGCTGTGTACTTTGTCTGTCTACCTAAATATAACAGTCTCTATTAGATTTGCAAGGGGTCTCCTTTGACGTAATGACCACTAAGCATTGCCTGTCTCCAAGATCTCTAACACAACATCATTATAGCCCCACCATGAGTCTATATCACTGCAGGGACCCCCTGTAACTGTTGGGCCACCCTTTCATTTGCTGGCTATCTCTTCATTGAATTCCTCACTGCGGCTACCTCAAACCATCCTCAAACTCAAGTTCTATCCATTCTTGCCCTGAAGGAGACATTCTTGCTAATTTTCTGCTAAGATATCTGAATTTCCCTGACTTCCTGTTTCTCAGTGTCAAAATTCTTCTCTGTATTCTTCTTAAGGTCTCACTTATCTCCATAGCGTCTGAGGAGGGCTTCTCTCTTCTCCTGTCCACTCCTTGGTGCTTATCTTCTTTCTTCAGGTTATTTCTTGGTCAATCCCTCTGTCTTCAATCTCTTCTCCACATCTCCCATTGTTGTTAGACTTACAAAATATCTCCTCTAATCTCAAACATTTCAAAGCCCTTGCCCTCCCTGATAAGTGGCTCCTAAAACTTGTTTCTTTCTCCTGCTACTTGGAAACAAAATGGAGAAAACATCATGACCTCGAAGCTTATGTAAGAGAGTCAGCGAAGGACAGCTACGTGGTTCTTCGGTCCACGTGATTCTTCAGAGTAAGCTCTGGAGTACAACAAATGAGACGACAGGGATCTGCCCCAGTTCTCATATTTATGTAGACGTCCAATTAGTTACATAAACAACGGCCTCCAGCCCTTACAGGCACAACTTTCCAGTGCACATTTGGAACTGAAGAAGTCAGATTCCAAAGACATTGGAGATACTTTTTTTGTTCTTTTGAGTTGTCGGAGGAGCAAATTCTTGTCATCTGTCTTCATTGCACAATGAAGTTGAATGTTTATGACAGGCGTGATATACAAAATTCTTAGAAAAAGTCACTTTTAGGAGAGACGTCAGGCGTCAGTATTTTGTTTTTTCCGTAATCCAGACATTTTTGTTTGATATTATCATGGTCAAATCATCTTTTCATTCCATCAAAAATTGTTCATCACTTTTAGTTCCTTTCTTGTCCTATCCCTAAGAATTCAAAGACCACTAAGGAAGTAGGATCATATGGGGAGTGAAGAACCACGTCTTGAAATTTGAAGACATGGATTAAAAATGAATATTTGTAAATTTGAGAAGGTACAAGTAAGTGATTTCCTTTGCTGGCCCCACTTGGATAATGCTGCAGAATGTCATCAACAAGTCTGAGTTTATATACAAACCCTACGAAGTCATGTGGCAGAAGGAAATATGGTGTCACCCATATACGTGGCACCAAATGTAATGGGGACATAATTGTTAGGTTTTTATGGTCTGAAGAGCTTCATTCTAGGTAGCTATACTGTGATGGAGAAAGGTTCTGATGTCATATATGGAAATGTCACATTGAAACCCACAAATTTACACAACGACTGTGAGTTAATAATAATAATGATAAAAAGAAATGCTATGCTGTCTTTGTTTCATAAAGTATTTCATCATTGATCAGAACTATATCTATTATAGAATTTATACAAATAAATATATACCTTAAATTAATAAACACATAAGTAGTTGTGACATGAGAGTAATGCATCTTATTATTTCTTTTTTTATTTTTAAGGAGAATAAAACCAAAAACACAATAAAGCTAGTCAGAGCAGAACAATGAAAGTAATATAGGACTTCAAAACAAGATAATAGAAAATCAACAATGGCTACCATTATGTCTCTTGTTTTCTTCAAAACAGCTGTCTATACTATTGGACATAATAAAATCAACCAACCAAACAAACAAAACAAAATAAAACCAATCAAAATAAAAGAATGAAAGTGTTAGAGGACTTCAAAACCAGACAATAGGAAATCAACAATGGCTGCCATAACATAACCTGATATCTTCAAAATAGCTGTCCATTCCATCAGACACAGTGAAATCAAACAGAACGAGATAGACTAAAACCAAACTTGACAATACTTTGTAAACAATGCAGCAATTCAAAACAAGGTAATAAGAAATTAACAATGATTGTTACCTTCCCTTTTTAAATGCTTCCTCCCTATCATTTTCATAATACTTATTGTACATTTTGGATTCCACTAACTCCTTCCTTTTTTTACACTAGGAGATAACACAGTGTTCACCTATATGAGTCCGTCCCAGTGATTTAGCCCATGAGCATGATCTCAAGTTGTATCCACTTACCTACAAGAGCCTCGGGATTATCTTTCTTTATAACTGAGTAGAAAACACTATATCTTTGTTATTTATTCTGTGGTTGATGGGCAAGCTACCCCTGCTTTTTTCTGATTTCCTGTCGCATAGAACATTTAACTTTTCTTTAAC